TGATCTGAACCGTGGGTTTCTCCTCCCGTCCCTCTGCCCAATTATAGGTCGAAAACGCAAACTGACATCCTGAAAGCTGGCAGCTCCCTACACAGAAAAATTTCCTGATGGGTGGGGGGAAAGTGCAGACAAGATAACTGTAACAGAGTCTACTGGGAGTGAGGGCTTCGTCAGTACCAGCTGGCTGTCCTCAGGGCACTGATGATAAACGATGACTGTCCTGGCAGTCTGGGAGAGACCGAGGAGAGGAAGGAAATGGCCAGCCAACAGCCATTAACTAGTGTGTGTGCTCTTGCACTGTAAGTCTTTAGAAGGCAATCATTTCCCAAGACATGATTTAAAAAGAAAAAAGCCTCTCCCCTCACCTCTCTTGGGCTCTTCACTGTTCTTCCTGCTCTCAAAATAAAACACTACACGGTCTCTAATCCCAGAGCTGCTGTTGGCTCCAAAGACAACCTTAAACCCCCTCAGGCCTTAGGTGAATCACTCTTGCATCAGCCTTATTAACCGAGGACAGACCAACAACCTAGGGTGGGGTGTTCCGGTGGACAAGGAGGAGGGAGGGGAGGAGGGAGGGAAACCTAAGTACCCGTAACCCAGCAGGTAGATGCAAAAATATTCCACAAGGTAGCTCCCAATTCAAATATTTCACCTCAGGCACTGGAATGGGGATGCAGCTCAGTCCTAGTGTCTCCGGCCTTGAGTTTGGATCTCTAAAACCAAACGTGAATCTCAGGAAAGCAACTCCTGAAGTTGAAAACCTCCCATGCAGTGTCGTGTTCTCCAACCGCTTCCCCAGGACACGTCAGCCTCTGTCGCCTTCAGCATTTCAGCTAAGCCGAGGCATGCTAACCCATTGCCAAGGAACTACCAAACCCTAGCCCAGTGGTTCTCAACCTTCCCGACACCGCAACCCTCTAAGACAGTTTTTCATGGTGTGGTGACCCCCTCAACCATAAAATTATTTTCATTGCTACTTCATAACTGTAATTTTTGCTACTGTTATGAATTATAATGTAAATATATGATATGCAAGATATCTAATATGCGACCCCTATGAAAAGGCCATTCAGCCTGTGAAGGGGTCGAGACCCACAGGTGGAGAACCACTGCCCTAGATTGTTGGTGTAGGTGAAAGGGCTTCTATCTCTGCTCTTCCTCTTTAAGCTCTGGAAAGGACTGCTTTTTTTTTCCCACATACCCATCAGTAATCCAGGTATAGTATGACAGGGTGCTGGGAGAATACCATAATAGACGTAAAGCGCCAAGAAGATGAAGCAAGCACTTCACAGGAGAGCAGTTATTGAAACCACTGCTCCGCTCCCTTGAAAGACAAAAGAATAGGTACAACGCTCAAGTGTGGAAATGATATATGCACCCCCTTGTCAAGACTTCTCTAGAGTGGCTTTCTAACCATAGCCAGACCTCGTCTGTGATGACCTAACAGGGTTCACAGGGCAAACAGGGCAGTTCTGTAGACAGATGCTTGATAATGCACATTAAATATGGAGAGTTACTAGTCTAAAAGCCATGGCACTATATTGTTTTGGTCATATTTTCTTATCTGCTTGCATTATAAACATCAAGTCCAATCTTTTCACTTTGGTTAGCTTCACTCAAACCACGGGACGGGAGGAGAAACCCGCAGTTCAGATCAACGGGTGGGAGAGCACCCCTCCCTCACATCGTCCAAATAAGCTCTCTGTAAAAACACTGGATGAATCAGCAATTACTCAGTGTGTGTGAATGCTCGGTCCTGAAGGTCCCAGGAAAGTACAAGGGCTCATTCGTTGACATCAGGGTGTTATGGAGAGGGAATCCGGTAAATACGTGAAATTGGAAGTCTGCATCTTCAAACTGTGATTCGAGTTCAGTGGGAGAAGAGGCTACTGTTTTCTGGTTAAACTGGTATTCTGTCTTGACTTTATTTTATCTGTATTTCTCCAATTCCTGCCTCCCACTCTAAGCTAGGGACAGAACTCATGGCCTCATCTTAGGCAAGCTCTCTACCCTAGATCAATTTGACGTTCTATTTGAGCTTCCAGATTCAAGTTCCACATCCAACTCTACACAGTTACCCGTTAACTACAGACAGTATGTGACAGCAAGCACAAGTGGGAATTTCTGTACGGGGCAAGGCCAGTCTGGGGGAAGAAGTGTACACATCTGGGCTCAGACTCTGCGCCACCAGCTCTGTGGTCCTTAGCGTCTTCCCTTGAACTTCAGCTCCCTCATCGCTTTCCTAGAGCCTCTTTAGGGTTGTGGTGAGATTTGAGATGTGTCTTGTAGGTGGTGGAAATGGTAATGTGGTTGCCTTGTTTTATTGTTGGCTTCAGGAAAAAAAAAAATCCCGGAACTGTCACCTCATTCTCCGAAGGCATAACTAAAGAATCACTTTGTCGGGGGCCCATGCCTTCCTGGAAAATGTATTTCTTCTTTGTGTTCTCACGGTGTTTAATTTTACATGTCTGCTTCACCATCAAGCCTAGGAGCTCCCCTGGTGGAGGAACTGTAATTATTCATCTTCATATCTGTTATTAACACCTAGCCTAGGACCTTCTATTAAATGCTAATATTTCAAATTTCAGTTTATATCAATTCCTTCAGTATAACTCATACTACAGGCTCTGAAGTCTGAATAGTCTAACTAGTAAATAATTTATATTTAATGATGAATATGTATAAAAGTGCCACAATGAACCCCAATACTTTGTATGCTAACTTAAATAATACATTTCAAAACTCTTAATCTCACTTTAAAAGTTACACTAAAATTATGTAGTATATACAGGTACGGCCATAACACCTGCTTTTTCAATGCTAGAATTACTCTTAAGGGTGAACCTGCTATTTTCGTTTTGTCTTGCTTTTAATGCCTGTTGATCCTGCCTGGTAATAACGAAAGTCAAGTTTAAGTTCTCAGTCAAAACCACCAGGAGGGAGGGTTTTACTCTGAATCCTCTACCGCTCAATGCATCTGCTACCCAGACCTTTTTTGGTGAGTTGTGGGAAGGAACTGAACTAACAGAAAACACCCTGTTTGAAGTTTCAGCTGCTAACATTGTTGCAACAATTAGCACTTCGTGAACTCCTGGCTGCATGAGAAAACTTGAGCTACAGCTTTGAAATCCATGAATTGACACCATCAAAACCACTAAAATAGCAGGAAGAAAACCTTCCCCTGGAAATGGCCTCTGCTCAGGCAGTTCCCTGGGCAATGTGGTGAAGGCAGCTGAACGTGCACCAGACAAATGACCGAATATTAATGACCTAAAATAAGAGACTTTACATTTCCAGGGCAGGTGAGCACTGAGTTGGTAAAAGTGCCGCTAAGCCTGGCAACCTGAGTTGGCTCCCTGGAGCCCACAGTGGAAGTAGAGCCACCCCAACATGCACTTACGCCCGTGTGTACACACACACACACACACACACACACACACACACACACACACACACACACACTGGGAGGGAGGTAACAATGAAGGAAAATGCTTCTAGATCAAATACTTCTAAAATCAACCTTGTGGCAGCCTTCCTGCTGAGCTGCACCTGGCCTGGCTCCAGGGAGTAGGACCCAGCCCCAATCCATCTTTTGTTTAGCAGACACCTTTTGTTTCCCTTGTTGCCCTCTGTGTGTCAATCTTGTCTCCCAGGGATACAAAGGTCTATGCAAAACTTGGTTCAGGCCCACGCCTTTAATCCCAGCACTTGGGAGGTAGAGGCAGTCAGATCTCTGAGTTAGAGGCCAGCCTGAGCTACATAGTGAGTTCCAGGAAAGGCGCAACCTACACAGGGTAACCCTGTTTGGGAAAAAAAAACAAAATCCAAAAAACAATAACAACAACAAAACTTGGTTCAGGAAACCCAGTTTTCTAACTGTGGTACCTGAGAAATCGAGGAATTTGCACTTGGCATTGTATTGTTGGGAGCTCCTTTCAGGCTGTTTTGAGCATATGGAAATTAACGGGCTGAACTGTGATGGAAAGAAATAAAAACGCCTGAGGCAAAGGGAAAGTGCTTCAGTCCTTCAAGGCTGGACCCCCCTGCAGCCATGAAAGGCTAGATTCATTCTTAAGATGCGTCTGAGTCTCTTTTCCACGGACCCACGTGAACCCACACACACGTGTGTCATGACACACAGTGACACAACCTCTTACAAACCACAAGAGTTTGGTCCAGTCTGTGCTGTGAAATTCTCTTTGGAAATAATTTTGAACTAGTATGTGTGGGCTACATGCTACAGACTCAACAGAAGCTTCGTATGCATCGACTTGTATAAAACCGCCATAGCTCCCCATGAAACAGGCAGTGGTAGTGTCGCCTCTTGACAGAGGATGAGCCGAATCCCATTAAACTCTTCCAGCTAACCAAAGGTCACGTAGCCTTGACAGAAAGAGTTAGATGTGACCCTAGACAAGCTTGACTTCAGAGTTACACATAACTCCCCAATCCTGTGAGAAAGAAATGGGTGTTTTAGATGAACCTGTCAACTATTAGTGGTGTAGCTTTTCAGTAGTTCTTTTAAAAGCCTTATTTTCTTTTTAAAACGTAGTGCATGCATGCATGTGTATGTGAGTGCAGGTGCACATAGGCCACCGCACACACGTGGAGATCAGAGGAGAACTTTGTGTAGTTATTTCATATAGTGTCTTAGTTAGGGTTTCTGTTGCTGGGAAAAGACACCATGACCAAGGCAACTCTTATAAAGGAAAACATTTCATTGAGGTGGCAGCTTAGGGTTCAGAAGTTTAGTCCATGATCATTAGGACAAGAGCACGGTGGCATGCAGGCAGAGGTTAGAGTCCGACATCTTGCAGGCAACAGGAAGTCAACTGAGTGTCACACTGACCCTGAGCATAGGAAACCTCAAAGCCCACCCCCACAGTGACACACTTCCTCCAACAAGGTCACACCTACTCCAACAATGCCACGCCTCCTAATAGTGCCACTCCCTGTGGGATTGTGGAGGCCAATTACATTCAAACTAGCACAGTGGTTACCTCTTTCCTGACCCTTGTGGGACCCAGGTAGTAAACTAAGGTCGTGAGGCCTGTGTGAAAGCACCTCTACCCACTAAGCCATCTGGGCTCATTGAGTAGTTTCTGAAACTGCCTTCATCTGTACTCTCCCAGTAATGCTCATCCCAGAGGCTCATTCATGTGGTGGCCTTACTGCTTACTCTGTAAATGCAAAACACGGATAAGGAAACTTTAAAAAATCTAAAACAAAATTTGTTTTTTGTTTTTATTTTTGAGACAGGGTTTCTCTGTGTATCCCTGGCTGTCCTGGAACTTGCTCTGTAGACCATGCTTGCCTCGAACTCACAGAGATCCATCTGCCTCTGCCTCAAGTGCTGGGATTAAAGGCATGTGCCATCATCTCCTGGCCTTTTTTTTTTTAAGCAGAAGAATGTATTCTGGTTTACAGTTCCTGGGGGATAAGAAGATACCATGGCTGGGCAGCAAGCTACAAGTATGCTGGAGCAGGAAGCTAAGAACTCACATCTCTAACCACAAGCATGAGGCAAAAAAAAAAAAAAAAAAAGAACCAAACTTCTTAATGAGTGATCATGAAGTGTGGATCTGAGAGTTTAAGCAATGCTACATAGACTGGAAGAGAGTCTTACTCGGGATTATTGTTCAGGTGGGCCAGTGACAGATAAACAGCCCTCACATGATACAGTCATTACATCATGGTCTAAGACATCCGTGTTTCAGCTTTAATTCATGTTTCCTAGCTTGTAACTTTCAAACCTCTCATTCTACGTCATCAGAGCTATGGGTTTATATTTTGTTTTTTGTCCTCAGTTTATTAAATATCATAAAGGGGGCATCTTCTGTGATTTATAACAAGCCCCTTTCAACTGAACATGGCCTTCTGTTGGAGAGGTGGGTTTCAGAAGGCCACACCCATGGAGACTGGCTTCCAGGTGGGGCCAGGCCTATGGTTTACTGTGTGGGACTTTCAGCTCCACCCATCAGCAGTGCCAGGAAGTTCATCAATCAAGCCTCCATAATGAAGCCTCCACAGGTCTGGAAAGGATGTATTGGTTATTTTTCTTATTGTGGTCACTGAACACCTGACAAAAAGCTACTTAAAGATGGAAAGGCTCTGTTTTGGCTTAGAGAATACCGTCCATCCATCATGGAAGGGAAGGTGTGGTGGTGAAGGTGGCCTTCAGCTATAGCAGAGAAGCTGTGGCACCTGGTGGCAATGCATCATAATTTGGACATCAGAGAGAGGATGCAGAGCACAGCTCTGACGGGCAGAACCTTACAGAACTTCACAGCACCGAATCTCCCATTCTCGGAATCTTCCAGATCCTGCCTGGCAATCAGTCTCTTCATCTGGCTGGTCAATTGTCCCTTAATTTACCCTTTGTAATAAACCCATCGTCCAGAAAGAAAGCTGGAAATTTCAATTCACAGGCTGTTCTGGCAAATGACAGAACCTGAGAACAGGGTCATGGGAAACTTCCAATCTGTAGCCATGTTGGGTAGAATCAGGGGATAATCTGGGAACCCATTATCTGTGATTGACTTCTGTCTTGGGATTTCTACTGGTGTGAAGAGACATCATGACCACGACAACTCTTATAGAGGAAAACATTTAATTGGGGTGGCTCACTTACAGTTCAGAGGTTCAGTCAATTATCATCATGGCGGGACATGGAGGTGTGTGGACAGACATGGTGCTGGAGAAGGAGCTGAGAGTTCTACATCTTGCAGGTGACAGGAAGTGGTCTGAGTATCACACTGAGGGAAGCTTGAGCACATATGAGATCTCAAAGCCCACCTCCACCATGACACACTTTCTCCAACAAGGGCACACCTATTCCAATAGGTATGTCTCCTAATAGTGTCACTCCCTTTGGGGGCCATTTTCTTTCAAACCACCACAGCATCTGAAGCTAGGCAAAGGCTTAGCCTTTGGGGTATGATGCTATTTCTAGACAGACAGTGTCGAAACTTAGATTTAGAACACTCTGTCAATATTTGCTGAAGAACTGAATTGTTCTGGGAGAAACCTCTCTCTCTTTACCCTTCACCCATTCCTGGCTAGAACCTGAAGTAGACTGGCTTCCTTGAGCTAGTTTCTATATTTTCTTAAATAGATGTGACTTTTCTGCAAGTTAAAGTCCACTGTGATTTACAGGCTATGTGTGGATCAGTTCACAGAATTAACTAATAAGAAGGGGCAGTATACATTCTAATGTCACCTGAAGGTCACCAGGTGATCTGGATCATGTAAGTTCAAACAAAGATTATTTAGCGATCGTTATGGGTTGGGTATGAAATGTTCTGCGTGGGCTTAGGTATTTGAACACATCGTTCCAAGTTGTGGGAACGTTTGGTAAAGTTATAGTGTCCTTCATGTGGGAGACATGGCTGGTGTGCACAGAGCCAGCAGACAATAGTGTCTCTAGAGATTCTGGTTCTGTGTTAAGTATGCCTGTGCAACTACAAGGACTGGAGTGTGGCTCCAGTAACATGTATGGAGTGTGGCTCCATGTAACAAGCTAGATATCCTGCACGCTCCTTACACATGCACCAGTACACATACTCTCACAGATACAGTCTCACACATATAAATAAACCATCAAGTAGATCTTTAAAAAAAATGAAAACAAGGGCTGGAGAGATGACTCAGTGGTTAAGAGCACTGGCTGCTCTTCCAGAGGTCCTGAGTTCAATTCCCAGCAACCACATGGTGGCTCACAACCATCTGTAATAGGATATGATGCCCTCTTCTGATGTGCAGGTATACATGCAGAGCACTCATACATAAAATATAAATAAATAAATATTTTTTAAAAAATATGAAAACAAAAAGAGTTGGGCTACAGGCTGTCAACTCATTTACTGAATGTCTCTTAAGGCCCATTCTCATGTAGGAAATATAGGCTTGTTTCTTTACCACAGCAGCATCATATATATATATATATATATAATTAGCCCCTAGGTTCTATGATGTTTCTTTAGAAATATGTAGTTGCAGCTTGTGGAAGAGAGCCACACATGTTCTGAGAACTCAAAGGGAAAAGGTAAAATTATTTATTGATAATTGTTGCAAAACAACCTTGGGTGGATCTTAAGAGCATTTCCGTGTATTTGCTGAGCCAGGCAGCTGCCCTTTCTTGCAGACTAAATGTTCAAGTGCAATGTGACGGTTTGTGGCTGTGGATAGTTTAAATCAAAATGCCCCCATAGGCTCATAGGGAGTGGCGCTGTGAGGTGTGGCCTTCTTGGAGGAGGGTCGCTGGAGGTGGCTTTGAGGTTCCAGATGCTCCAGTCAGGCCCAGTGCTGTCCTCTCTTCCTGCTGCCTCCAGATCCAGATGTAGGACTCTCACTACCACGTCTGCCTGCATGCTGCCTTGCTTCCCACCACGATGGCAATGGACTAAACCTCTGAAACTATGAATCAGCCCCAGTTAAATGTTTTCCTTATTAAGAACTGCCATGGTCCTGGTGTCTCTTTACACCAATAGAAAACCCTAACTAAGACAATGGCCTTGAAAGAACTAATTCTTTCTCTCATTTAAAAGGTCCACGTTCACCATCTAGTATAATTCAGACAGTACCGAGTGAAAGGCAGAAATACTTTTTCCTCAGTCTGTGAGGTTCACATTCCCTACATTCCAGGTTCCTCTTTCTCTTCCTTCCTAATATTTATTTATTTTGTGTGTGCCGGTGGGTGTTTCCTCTGCAAGTTTGTGTACCACATGTGTGCAGTGTCTGTGGAGGCCGGAAGGTGTCAGGTCTCACAGGAAACGGAGTTGCAGATGGTTCTGAGCCATCATGTGGTTGATGGAAACGGGACCTGCATTCTCTGCAAAAGCAGCCAGTGCCCTTAACTTCTGAGCCATCTCCCCACCCCTCAGGGTTCTGCTTTTATAACACACTGGCTGGTACCTGAGGTGCTTTATGGCCCCCTTTTCATCTCTCTGGAGCCTCAGGAGCCAAGAGGAAAAAGTCAGTTGCTGTAAATAGAGACATTTCTTTTCTCTTTGACTCAGGATTCTCCTGTTTTCAACATCATCCAAGAAAGTGTGGCAGACTGAGTTCTTCTTCCCTTGCAAAGCCAGTGAAATCTCAGCCTCCTCACATTCTTGACAGTACTTATATCGGTCCTCCTGAGTGCCTGGACATTGGCCCAGTAACTTGGTATTCCCATCTTTCCCCTCCTTAGCCATTCCTGTCCATGAATATCCTCTCCCACAAATGCTTTTCTAGGCCAGCTGCTGCATTTACAGTCCTCCATCCTTGTCTCTGAGGAAGATTTAGTAGAGAGCTATTGGAAACGAAGCGTTCTGATCACAAGATTTGAAGGAAAAACCACTAGGTCTGGCTTGGTGGTGTAGTGCCGGGAGCCATGGGACTCCAAGGGGACAAGGCCTGAGAATAGTATGAACAAGTTCTCCGTGTGGCAAGGCCAGGATTAAATAACTCACTTTTGGCAAGGCCAATAGATAGTTTGCTGCATAATTCTGGGGACGACCACAGGAGCATACGCACTACCTCCTCTCCTTAGGTAAATTATACTTCTGGCTGCCTCTGGTCTCGCTGTCTTAGAGCTACAGATGGAATGGCTACTGCGTTAGGAAAACTTCCCCCATGACACTCCTCTGGGTGAACCGGAAGGGATGTTGTTAAAAATATACAATAGATCTGATTCAGCTTCAAAAGCCTTTGATATTTCAAGTGTGACCATGAATTCAGGATTCTCAAGAACAGAATGGTGCCTTTCCAACGCACCTTGTGACTAGTCTGAAAGAGTCACAGTAGCTTACGACATTACCAATTTGCATAACTGTTCTGGAGAGAATGATTCTAACCACAAGAGTCTAGGGAAAATGCAAATAAATAAATGATATCAGGAGTTAATGGGAACAGTCTAGGAACAGGGAATGAAGCAGAATCATAGGAATCCACAGTGCCCTCCCTTCTAACAGCTGTGCCAATGCTGTAGGAAGCTGAGAGAAGCTGTGCCAACTATCGAGAGTAAGCTTTTTAGTTATGTAGTTTACAAGACGATAGGGAAAAAACCTGGTATGTTCACACAGGAGATAGAGTAGTACAGAATGAAGGGTGAATTGATTCAGCGTTGGCTGATGCGTTGTGTATGAAAACTTAGATTTGACAGAGGTAAACATCAACCACTAGAGGCAAAACCCTTTGA